ATGGGGCAATAGTACTTTAAAATCTTCAATTGAAATGTATATTGGTGATCGTGTAACATACGAATGTCCATCATGCTGATTATTCAGATGATGAATTCTCCGATTCTGATTTACCTCCGCTTATTCCAATCTTTACCGGTGGACAAAATGGGATAGCTATAACCAGGTCCTTTAGAGACTACTCTTTGAGTCATACATTAGACGAAACGGATTTTTATTCTGCATTCAGTAATTATATCGAAGCATCATCAAATTCAATTAATCTAGAACGAGATAATATATTAAATAGTCTTGCTAGAGCCATTGATCAAGGATGCTATATATATCTGTGATAATAAATAATATATTTAATTGCAGAAAAGCTAAATTACAATAAAGTAAAATCACGTGTGCCGATCACTTTGCTAGAAAAAAAAAATGAATGTGTCCCGATATATGTAGAAAACTTCTATATCTGGTTAAAAATTTGTACAAATTGAGTATGGATTTCTTCCCATTCTTTCATCAGATCATCTAGCCATGCAGTACTTAAACCACTTTTTAGTATACTGCAACGTAATAATTCTTCTCCGATTAGGCTATCCCGATCTGTTAAAAATTTATGATATTTTCTAGTATCTTCCTGCCTTTCTATTCCACCACGGTAAAAGCGTATATCTCTCTCCAAGTCTTCGCGGAAGCATCCCATGGCCCACCTATCTTTTTCGGCCTTAGTAATAAACGAAAATTTCTCGGGATCAAGGTCATTTTCAACAGCATATTGATAAAGGCGGGTTTTGTTTGGATGAATTGGTGAATTACTGATTTTGTTTGGTACCCTTATTTGAATTTCTGGTGAGTTCTGTACAGCAATAATAACTTTCTTTTGATCAATACGAAAAGGACAATTAAGAAAATAGTGATCATTTTTACCGAGACAGCTCCAATCGCCCCATATACCTCGATGTGTATGTACCTCTTTACATACAGGACATTTAGCTTCTGAATCGGTATATTTAAAAACATCTTGGTACCATGCATTCGAATGAGTAAAAGACAAAGGGAAACATTTATGTATAGCTTCATGGATTATACTTTTTTCTTCCGGAAACTTAGAAATTTTGATGATACAGTCTCGTGAAAGATGATTGCTGGCATCCTCTTCAACTTGTTTAGATTCGGAAGTTTCAGAATTTATCCAGGGATCAAGTCCAGTTTTATTCTTATATCTATTATAGAACCTAGAACGAGTTTTATCTGACAAAATGCTTGGCAATTCTGTTAATTTAGCTTCCCACTCTAAATATTCAGGAGTTAATGAATTCATGTTGCTGTTTTATATGATTGTACATCTCTTTAAATTAAAAAAATAAATATGCCTCAGAGAGTCCTCAAAGACTTTAGCGAATTGTATTTGGATAAGATAGCGGAGCTGGAGCAAAGCTTCTAAAGTTTATGCTGTTATCTCGATTTTAATTCCACGCTGTTCACATTTAATAAAATAGGATCCACATTTATATCTGCCTTCTATACCTTTATCCTCATAATGATCTGACTTGCATATAGGGCATAAAGATTCATCTGTAATCCCATAATAATCATTGTTTCCATCACTACCTTCTTGACATAAATTAGGATATTGTTTTAATGTTTTATTACGGAAATAAGCACAATCACGAGTTGGATTAGACGATGCACTTACCTCAGTTTCTAGTAATTTTTCTGAATCATTTGAGATAGATGGTTCAATCACGTGTGCATTCTTTTTTGGAAAACGATTTATAATATTTTGGATTTGAACACCTGTTAAACTAGAAATAGCATCAGCGCTATATGTAATTTGCTTGATTTTATCTATTCCTATTTCTTTAAACAATGTATAAATATTTCTAGCCTTTTGAGTCTTCTTACGTAAATACTCTCTCTTGATACCAGGAAGATATGGTTCCATTTCATTGTAAATCTGTGTTCTTGCCATTTGATCGTTAATTTCATTTTTTGAGCTAATATCTCTGACCTTCTTTTCAAATTCCTCACAATAATAATACCAACACAAAATTTCTTTCTGACCGGTTTTTTTAGCCTTGTCAAATAAATGAGCTAAATATGATGCAGAACCCAGAACTAGATCATTTTCATCTAGCATATTTTCAGTAATTCGTTTATCAGATATAGAATTTGAAAGGCTCTTCTCATCAATAAATTCAGATAATTCATGCATTAAACCTTGTTCTACTTTTTGATTATAGGGAATTTTTATTTCGGAAGAAATAGCACTTTGTTCCTGATTGGATGAAGAGATAATAGACGATTTAGATTCAGAAATCTGATAAATATTAGGAATAGTATTCTTGGGAGTTGAGAGCAACTCTTGATCCCTCAGCTTGTCCTCTGATGATTTAGTCTTCGTCTCCTGGCATGCATCAGAACCTAAAGCTTTATCAGTTATATCAGATGCAGGAGTATCATGAGTATTGTTAGAATTTTCTGTTTTGGTAGATGTGATATTAGGTGCAAAGCACCCTGTTTCGCAGACTAAATGTTGCTTGATTTCCCTAATATCACCATCTGATTTAGCAATAAAATCATTCTTTTCATCGTTTTGCAACTGCCTCTGCTCCAATTTCGCAACTCTAGCTTTAAGTTCAGCATTTTCAGTAGTAGTATTTTTATCATTCTGCTCCAGTTTTTTAAATCTGGATTCATGTTCTTCCAAAGCTTGTTTTAATTTTACGTTCTCAGACTTGATTTCGGTATTTTCCTGCCTAAGTATATTATTCTCAGCTACAAGCTTGGAAATCTGTTCTTCTAATGATTTGGATTGATTGTTCGCCATTTTATTTATATAAAATTCGGATATATTCAATTAAAAATCATGTTTGTGCGTGAATATTCTTCACGCCGATCACTTTTGCCAAGAAAAAAAAAATTTGAATGTGCCTCATAATTTGATATAGTACGTCATTATACATGAGATATTATTAATATGTCCCGCAAATCTAGAAATAACAGACGTAAAACTCAAGGTAAATTTACCACAAATCCTACACAGTATATACAATTTCAAAACCGGAATAAATATATGCACATTACGGAAGGAGAACATATAATTATTATAAATAGAAATACTCAAGATACAAAAGCGGTATTCAACTATGAAGAGGTATCTAGATATCTAGAGATAAATAGTATTGATTTGGATATTAAAAATATGTATAGGAAATAATTGGATTCCATATTCAATAATGTGCGGATCATAGAGTCTCTGACTCATATTTTTTATTTGTAAGGGAATTCGCATAAAAATGTGTCCCAAAAATTTTCCTGATATAGATTAATGCCACTTCATTTCTTCAATTTTTTTTGAAAACTGTTTACAATACCATGTAAATTTACAATAACCCCATTCTAAAGATTGCAGATTTCCTTTATATTAGTAACATGATAAATATATATTTCAGTGGAGTTAATAGAATACTTACACACAAAAGCAATAAGGCGTGAACGAACTCCTCTACTTCAATCGATTCTTTACCCAAGGGTATTTTCGCTTTAACAACCGGGAGATGGTATTTTACCCCCTTTTCCTTTATCAATCCATGAATTTCAAGATACTTACCTGCGATATTGACGCAGAATCCTATATAATTTCTATAAAAAGCTTCTTTTGTGCATCTCTTTACAAGTTCCTTAGATCCATCTAAATAGAGTTGCACCAATTTATTATGATCATGATTAATCTTGTCATCATTGGAATCCCATTTTCCACTTTCAAAGAATACAATTTCTTCCCATTTCTGACGAAGATAAGCATGAATCATAATATCAGGTTTATCACCTCTCGATCCGCTTCTTTGCTGAACTTTCCGGTTTTTACTGGCTATACTTTGTCGTTCAGACCTGGTAACTTCAACCTCAAAATCCACAGGTAAATGATACATAGCCGTATCTATTAAACAAGCAATGATCTCCACTAATGTATTTTCTGAACCCCTAGAAACTCTTTGAAGCGTATCCAACTTAATTTCCTGTAAAAGAACGTTAGTAATTTCACTTGTTATATGTTTCCTAGTGTAATCATCTTCAACCCATTGATCATGCGTTACAACTTCTCTTGAAGACAGTACAAATTTCTGCCATTTATGCACCTCGTTTCTCTTTGATATAAAATCATAGCAAATATTCTTTACAGCAATATCTTTACTTAGATTTCTTATGTTAGCCTTCTCTCCCTATTAAGATTAATATATAATTAGTAATTCTCATAGATATGAAATCCATATATAAGCCTTATCTTCATAAATAAAAAATATAGATATTATATACGTACAACGAGGGATTTGAAATCACTTTCTGCAATATTATATTTATCTGAACTAAGATCGATGATTCCAATACATAATGGATCATCATTTGATAAATTATCTACATCTATATTGCTTACTCTTGTGAAAATATGTTCATGTGCTGACATTTCTCCCTTCTAACATATAGGAAAAAAAGCAGTAATGGAAGCAGTTCCAAAGTACAATGTAAGTTAAAAATTTTTTGAGAGAGTTAATTTTGTAGAGCGGAGCTCATGCCAAGGCATAGAAAAATAGACTTGGGTAACTGATTACCTTGATTTTATCTTTCAATAGCGATATACTATTTAAGGCTAAAGCTTTCCAATTCACATCTTCTTCAAATTTTCCTCGTAAAAACCCCATATCTTTTAATGATACTAACTCGGTTCTAATAAATCGCATCTATAAAAATAAAGATGGGTTAATAAAATTCAGAAAAATCATCATTATTTTTTTGCGCAAATACCCATCCTAATCAGAAATAGCCGGCATTATTGTCTAATAAATCACCATAATAAGCATAATGAAAGAGATTCTTGCTGACAACATGTCGCTTTTTCAATCTCATTACACTTATTAATGTCTAGACATTACAGTCATCATTTTATTATCTAGTGTACGAATACTAAAGTGGTAAAAAATACCTGATCATTATTTTGTAACGATTTAAGATACCCCCTACATTCTTCATTGATATTTTCATTGTCCATTTCTTTTAGGATTTTCATGAGGCATTCGATATCTTCTTCTTCTGTTTGAACTTTGAAACAATTCCATTGTTGTGTGATTATATTCGAAATGGTTATTTTATCCAAGGGAGACGCCTTCAAAAGGTTATATAATGGGGTGAAAATTTCAAAAGATAATAATGAGCTAGACATATTTGAAAAGATAATTAGATATTACGTAAAAGAAAAAATCACTATAGAAATGATGAATATTCATAAAATCGCTATACTGCCCTTTTTAAACATTTTTTGTTCATCTCTTACTACATCTTCTTTTGGATCTATAGAATGGGTATAATAAAGTAGAAGAAAGTAGTATTTACGCCAAGGAATTTTACACAAACATGTATGTATTATGATCATGTGTCACACGCATTGGAATTCTAAAAATAATTTTCATTACATAGCCACAATATATTTGTACAACATATTGATTATCTGATTGATTATGCAGAGGGATTATCAAGACACATAAGTGTCATGACCCTTTAGGGTCGCCCCTTTGCAATAAATTTAATTCCTTCTTTAAATCAATTCACGCTGAAATACTACAGTTCACCACTTTTTGTATTAACAGTTTCTATTCCCAGTTTATACGCATGGTCCTGGCTAGACAACTTAAATCAAGAAAAATGGACGAGAAAGCTGATAAGAGAGTTCATAGAACCTTTCAGGTATTTTTAATCTTGCACTATTTCGAAATGGTAGGTATAGCTAGCGAAACATTTTTATGTAGGAATCCAAGACAGGGGAACCCAATATATGTTCCGTTTGGTGTCGAGGGAAAGATAGTAAAACCACCACATTGTCAACCAATTCCAATAATAACCATATGGGACACGGTAGCCCTTCTTTGGACAATCTACATCATGAAAATGAAGGATTTCGAGGAAATGGAACTTCAAAACCAGAAAAAATATCTTTCCAGAATGCTAATTATCTTGGCCGACAAAATCACAATGATGAATACGGAAAGGTTGCATCGCCCAACAGCAGTAAATATAATGATTTCAGCGGAAAAGGTGAAGATTGTAAAATTTATGTTCGGGGCATCAGTCCGCACGTCACAAAAGATCAACAAATCAGTAGCACTGTCGAGGGTAGAATCTATACCAATCCTACAATTGCGCCATTCGAATGTTGTCCAAACATGCAGACGATCCAATCTTCGCTATTTTCCTTTGGGCAACTGCGCCGAATTGGTACCTTGGCGGGCCATGCATGGACGAAAGAAGAACCGAAAACACCGTGTCGTTTTGTGGTCCCAAACATTCAATCTATTGAAGAAAGAATTTCGGAAACCATGTCTCCAGTGCCGAAGGGTGAAGAGCAGGATGAACCTCGAGAAGGTCACAATAATCCGAAGTCTCCACTTATGATAGTTGAAATGATCGCAAATAAATCAGATCGTAAACGCGTTGCAAATTCTCTTAACTGTAAACTCGAACCCGGAGATTTTTCTGGTTGTATTTGTTATATGGAACAAGTTAAAGAGTATTATGGTTTTGATCATATAATCATCATCGGAGAACTTCATGCTGGAATTCTTTTTTTGGACTGTTACAGTCGTGTGTTCATATGGGACTCAATGTGTTATGTTTTATGGATGCTTGGGGATTATTGGAACGAGGCAACAAAGACTAGCCAACCAAAGTGGGGTTTAGAGGTCGATTGGACTGTTGTCAGATTTGAAGAATTTATGAATGGTATGTGGAGATTTTGTTCATTCCTTTTTTTATCTTAATTCTTATAATTAGTTTCTTTCTCCTAGATTCACCAAATGAACTAACCTTTAACAATCCTATTCATCCTGTTGCAAAGAAGAAAAAGAATTTGAAAAAAAAGAACTCGAAAAAGAAACAATATTGATCTGATTTCTATGTTGTATTATTCTCAATTTTGATTTATGTTTGCTATTAATATTACTCGCGTAAACAAATAATTAGTGGTCACAAATATACATAGCATAAGACTTTACTATATTTTCTGTAATTTGCAGGCATAAATAATAAAGCAGATGGTTAGATAGCAAAGAAAATACTAGCATTGATGAAAAGATCGCCACATCTCAAGCAAGTATACCATCCCCATTCCAGATAAATGCATCTAACAAAATCCTATTTTACCCAATGATCCAGAAGAGAAGCAAAAATCCATTATTAACAAAGTGCTAGAGCAGTTTCCTTATTTATCTTTTAATTACAGTAATAAGTGTGGCAATTACTTTACTTGTTCAAAGATATGCAATAAAGATCACAAGAAAGAAGATGTAAAAGGCGAATGGGGTAGTGGCGATTATGTCAATACAAATACTTATCGTATCAATGGTTATAAGAATTATCAAAATTCAATCCAAATAGTAACAGTAAAAGCATAGACTACTGATTTCGAATATTTATGTCATTGACCAACTTAACTCGATATTCATTATATAATTTGATAGTATAACTTTTTCTGATAATCATTACGCGTTATTTATCGGACACATGACACCAGAAGATTAAATCACAAGGTTTGTAGTGCACCCAAAATAGATCTCTCATACCGAAATAGATCTTACATACCAAAAATAGATCCCACATGTCCGAAATAGATTTCAATGAGTAATTAGATAATATATATACGAGTGATTTATACATAAATATCGCCACAAATAGATTCTTTAGAATCAACTCTAATCACTACAACCCAATATGGATCTCTCCCATTCATCGTATACATCACTTGCAAAATATGACGATTATAACACTATTGAAGAGATGGTTGGAGAATCCAATCTGGACTAAAATTGAATCATATTATTCTAGAGTATAAAGTTATTAAATCTAATAGGTCTAAATCCTTAAATTCGACATAATCACATAATCTCAAAAAACACTATAAATAGTTTGTATAAAATGACTAGCTTAAGTGAAAGACGTGGAACCAATTGTACCGATGCTGAATGGGATGAAATTCTGGAGATGGGTATTGTTTTATTGAATGAGACTCCTACCGAATGGATGAATCGAATTTGGCCTCACTTACAATATTTCAGAGAAAATAATCTTATACCTTATAATAGAAAATACTTTGAAGCAAGAAAATTAATAACATATCAATCTGAGGTTAATGGATTTTATAAAAGCTATGCACCTGAAATTGGGCTTGCTATCTGTTTCTCTTGTAATCAACTTATATATATTGGAGAACAAACCAAAAATACAGGCAATTACAACCATATAGGAATGGAGAGACATTGGGCTTCTCGTTGTACTGGAAATTCCTTTTGTGGTGTAAGTTATGATGAATATTTACTGAAAATCGAACAAAAATCTATTTTGGGATATATTTATGATAATGAGTATGCATTACACCGTTATGAATTATGGATGTCCAATGCTATCAAGAAGGTTAAGCGTGCAAGAGAAATTGGTAGAAAAATTCAAGCATGTAGAATTATACAGAGAAAATGGTTAGAAATTTTCTTCAGACCCGAAGGTATGTGTGCTACTGAATTAGCATTACATTATCAGTTATTATGGGCGGTTCAAGAAGAAATGCGTCAAGTTAGCAATGTATAGACCGTGTCTGCGAAGCAATATACATATCTATTTATCTGGTTAATATATCTATTTATTATATAACTTATTCATATATTTAAAATAAAACCACCTAAAGT